AATTTATAAATTATCAAGGGCGCATGAGGGAGGGGGGAGAAGGGAGAGAGGGGGGAAAAATGAGGACCTGATGCCGGGGGCTTAAGTGGAGAGCAAACATTCTGAGAATGACGAGGGCGATGAATGTACAAGTGTGCTTTACACAACTGATGTATGTATGGATTGTGATAAGAGTTGTATGAGCCCCTAATAAAACAATTTTTAAAAAAACAAAACATTACCCTAGGATGAAAAAATCTGTCAATCAAAAAAAAAAAAAATCTGTCAATCTTCACCACCTGATGAAAACTGGCATTTGCAACTTTGGAAAGACCTGAACAGAACCAGACTAATGCATATAAGAACATCACCCTATAATGTCAGTTTGCGAATGAAACGGACTAGGATTGGATTACTGAATATAAATTCTGTTGTACGGTTTAAATTCTGTTATACAGTTAATATCAGAAGGAAAGCTCTTAAAAAAAGCAACCGTATTTACTTCCTTCTGCAACTGCCAGTCTGGCCCTTGAAGGACAAAGAGAACCAACATAAAAAGGAGAAAGGAGGCAGAACGGAGTAGTAATGAAATGAATCTTTCACTGATGTTGGTAATCTAGGAAGTTGCAAGGTTAGGTAAACCAGTAAAATGCACGTGCTGATTATATTCCTGATATACAAATAATGGGAAAGAGCTACAAAGTGATTAACTGGTTTGTTTTTTAATTATGAAATCCATAGTATATTTTGCTTGGTAAAATAAATTAGCTGAATAATATTTGGGGGAGTTTACAAGTGGTCTTCAGAATCTAGCATTGGTCCAAGAAAGTAGTCTAGATTCTTGTGTTTTGTGAACTTGAGAAAGGTAAACATCTGAATTTTTTAAAATCATATTAATTTCCAAATCAGCAAAGTTACTGATTGTGTTAGGGTTTATTTTCTTCAAATGTTCTATGTTGTGACTGAATTCAAATTAAAGCAACAATTATTCTGTAAAGGTCATTATGTGGAATTGGCACAATGGCTGACTTTAAAAAAAATAATTTTTAACCTAAAGCCTTAACTTTAATACAAACATAATACAAAACAAGAATGAAAAATTAAGACATAAAATACTAAAACTAATCAAATAATCTTAAAAACTCATATCCTTAAAAATAAAAAATAAAGACATATTTTAGGAAAAAATTAATTTTCAGATTTGGCTACATAAACAAATGTTCTGGTTATAGAAAAGATTTCAGAGTAAAGAGCTGACTCTTTTCTTTCCCACTATTCACAGTATTTTAAGACTAGTCTTACCTCGCTCATTAGCCATTGTTTCTGCTTGAGTCCAATATCCAAATGCTGTGTTTCATCCAAAATTTCTTCTAAAGTTAGAGGGTGTGTATCCCCTTGCTGATGCCGTGTCTATTGAAGGAAGAAAAAAAAATCATTGTTAGATGATTGCTATAAAATGCTAGCTAGGTTCATTAAATAATAAATAATAAAATGAGCCTCTTCAGAAAAGCAGAACATGTATTACCAGAGGCAGTAAAATTGTGGTTAAATTAAAACCAAGTCAAAAATAAACAAGTCCAACTCCAGACTCCTTAAAATCAAATGATAAACTAGGGGAAAAATAATTTGCAACTTATGCCATAAGAGCTAATCTTTGTAATATTTCATAAGCTGCAAGAATCTAACAGAAAAGTAGTACAAGGATAGCCTAGAGACCAAAGCAGAAAAGTGCCAATGGCCTCACACATATGAAAAAATACTCAACTTGAGCCAAGATAGTTCTCACCTATTAAACTGGTAAAAACTCACGTCTGACAATTCTACTTACTGGTGAGCCTATAGAGAATCAAGCTTTCTCTTGCACTGCTGCTGAGACTGTAAACTCCTAGGGAGGGAGACTTAGCAATATATAAATGTAATCACCCTCTGAGTCAGCAACCCTATTTCTAGGAATGCAGCTATCCTACAGATACACCAGCAAATCACAGAAGAAAGGATTCACTTATATAAAGCCACTGAAGCACTGTAATAGCAAAACACTAGAAATAATAAAAGTCTGATTAACTAAACTCCAGTACATCCTTACTACTACACAGATATATATTAAAATGTTCTGTATGTGTTAATGTGGAAAAATCTCCAGGACAAAAATCATTATTAAATTTAAAAACACATATAAAGTACAACCTTTATGTGTACAAGTATAAACTATGTATATCTTAAAATATCTCAAATATCTGCATATCTTAAAAATTTAGAAACAGTTTTCTAACCTTTATGAAAATCTTCCATACAAAACCCTCTGTGAATTTAAAATCAATATGTCAAATAATTAGGGGAATGGTTAGGTAATTTGGAGTAGACAGCCTCTGAGCGGCTGTCTGTGCAATACATAGCTGACCAGTTTTCAACGGCTGTCCTCTGTTGCATCAAAAACTGGTAATGGGCGTAGTCAGTTGAGCACACAGGTCTGACAGCACATACTGTATGTACTACTATGTGGGGTGAGAAACTAACCCTGAAATCATTAACACAGCTGCACGACTGCCAGTCACTCAGGGCTAGCATGCTGTGGTGCGTGAAATGCAAAAACCATGTTTCGTTTTTTAAATGACATAATGTTGTGGGTGCCCCTAATGATATCCTATAAAACCCTGGAGCTCCTGGACCCAGCTTTAGAAACTTTTTGATAGCAGGTTATCTTTTGATAACAGGGTATCTTCAGCCAACATCATAAAACCAAAAAAAGTAAATGGGAATCTCAAAACAAGCTCAATGATGATGAAATAATCAAGAAGCCTGATTTCACTGTGTTGTATAATCAGAGAAACTAAAAATACAGCTATCTGATTATCAGGTGAAAAAACTGGTACAATAAAATGAGTAATCACCAATAAAAAAACAGGAGATATAAATGTTAGAAATTTAAAGTTCCTTATTTCTTGCTTTAAAGGCAATGAATGATTTAATGTGGCTCTTCTAGGCCAAGTCTCTTAACTTCCTCCAAACAACCTTCCCCTGCATGAGCCTGGTAAGAAGATAGGGGAAGATACTGATAGAATTCAACTGCGAATCACTGCAAACAGGATTCTACAGAATGCCATCCTGGTGTGTATAAAACGATCCCTCTGAGAAACATGAAGAGGAATCTCACTACCAGAAAGAGCCATGAGTGGAACTCATCTTTTGGACTTAAGATCTCTGCACAGTGAACCTCTTGGATCCAGAGGACAGCTTGACCATCAGAAGAGCAGCAACAGAACCAGGAGCCAGAGCATGGGGAGTTGATGGACTTCCCAACCCACAGAGCAAGTAAAGCTGAGTGCTTTTGTGCAGGAGGCTGACTTGTGGCGTGGGGTGCCTCTGAACACTTAATTCAGGGGACTGGGGTTGCTGACCCACAGAGCTGGAGCTGAGAGCCTTCAGTGGAGGGGTAGTCCCCTTTGAGCATTTATAAGCAGACCTGAAAGAACTCTGTAACATGCCCTGATAAACTCAACCCCTGAGCATTTTTCACTGGCATTACAACTAATTAACTTAACAAATCCTTTAATCATGAATTGTGTCGGAGTTCTGCGTAACCACTGCAATATATACTAGAGCCCCAAAAAGTAAAATAGAACACAAAACATATACTAAGACATTACACTTGCTCTAAAGATCAAGTGGTTTTTTGGTTTGGTTTGTTTTTTAAAGCAAAAGCTGGAAGCATGTTTATGTGTTGTTTTGTCAGTTGCTTGTAAATCAGCACCAAATAATGCACCATCTCCACGGGAGCTTGTATGTTTGAGTTCATTATTCCGGCTACTGGGTTAATCCACCTGTGATAGTTACATAATCTGTTGTCAATGTGAGACTTAAAAGTGAAGGAGTGGAGTTCAGCCTGTCAATCAGGTCACAGCTTGATGACCTCATTTGGAGGCACTAAAAAGATGAACAGCTCACTGGGGGCAGGACACAGGCTCACTCCCTGAGAGACCCTTCCATTGACAAGACACATGGAACTACTCTTCCCTGATGATGTAGTCAAAATGAGCCAACTTTTCATTATTCTCATCTCTGGAGAGTATTCTGATTATTTGTTCATTTTTCTACCAGTACACAGTACATTCAGTGAAACTACATACTACCCTAAACTGATAAGACTACCTAGTTCTCAGTGATACTGAAATATTAGCTTATTTGTTAGCCTCATACATAGTTTTGGATTATTTTTGGTACATTGCATTTGTTCTTTTATTTCTTGAAAATGTATAGAAGCTTTACAAAAAATGACCAGGCTTAAATTACAGATTCTTTGGTCTTTTCTCTGGAGTTTGTTAACTGTAATTTTAATTTTTCCTTTTCCAATTTTTATGCTTTTTTGGGGGGGGGGGGGGGGGATGAGGAGCTGATACCAAGGGCTCAAGTAGAAAGAAAATGTTTTGAAAATGATGATGGCAACAACAAATGTACAAATGTGCTTGACACTAAGGATGGATGGATGGATTGTGATAAGAGTTGTAT